GCCCCCGCGGGGAGCGCGCCGGGGCTGCCCCCCGAATGACGGGCGGAAGGTTCGACTTCGACGATGGCGGCACCTACTGCGGCGGCTGGGAGGAGGGCAAGGCGCACGGGCATGGCATCTGCACGGGGCCCAAGGGCCAGGGCGAGTACTCGGGCTCCTGGTCGCACGGCTTCGAGGTGGTCGGCGGCTACACCTGGCCCAGCGGCAACACCTACCAGGGCTACTGGGCGCAGGGCAAGCGGCACGGGCTCGGGGTGGAGACGAAGGGCAAGTGGATGTACCGGGGGGAGTGGTCACATGGTTTCAAGGGGCGCTACGGGGTCCGGCAGAGCCTGTGCACCCCCGCCCGCTACGAGGGGACCTGGAGTAACGGGCTGCAAGACGGCTACGGCGTGGAGACCTACGGGGACGGAGGTGAGCGGCGTCGCAGGCTGGGGCGCGGCTGCCCGCGGGGCGCGGGGGTGCGGAGGGCTCGGCCCAGGCGCCGGGGAAGCGGGGAGGACTGGAGGCGCACGTGTCCGGAAACCCGCCAAAACACCTGGGGAAGCCTCCCACCCACCTTCCGCGCTCTCCTGCCCCTCTCAGGGTGCGCTGGGCTGGGCCTGTGGCGCTAGGGGTTGGGCTGACCCCACTCTTGGAGCAAGTGGCCGGTGTCCACACCCGGGGGAGCGAGGCGCGAATACACCTGGCCGGTGCCAGCGCTGCACTGCCGCCGCGAGGGCTGGGCTGGAGAGGGCGCTGTCACTTGAGCCCGTCACAGTACGTTCCTGACCCCTCCCTCCCCCTGCCCGGTTTGAAATCGCCACTTTGTGGAGCGCACGCTGTGGGGCTGGCCATCGGTGCCGACCGCTCCCCGGATTGGTTTCACGTGGAGTCGTATTTCGAGTCTGGCCCTCCAGGCGCCTAAAGATAGAAGTCAGAACCCCATAACTAGGATGTTGGGGAATTGGACCTTATTTGGGGTGCCTTTGGAAGCATCCTACTAAAGGGAGAAGAGCAGCCACCTGACGCAGATAGGGTTCAGGGGGTGTGGGGCTTTTCTCCCTAGTTTTCATTCGATTCTCTACAGTACTGGTTTTCAGTCTTTGCTGACTTGGGACTTTTGGGCCAACTAACTGGCAGATTTCAGAATTGAACTAACCTAAACTAGCTGCTAAGTTAGCAGTTACGTACTCTTGAAAATGGCAGCAGTGGTGAAACACTGATTTGCACTACGGTGTGCTTAGCTGTGAACACACAGTTCACCTCGTTTTAATATTTAATAGTACTTGTCAAAGAAACTGTGTCTATAATAAGACAGGAGCTCTTTATTTTTCAGTTACAAAAAGTGTATTTGAAACAGGTGTCAAAACCTGATGAATTTCCTTGTGTTTGAAAAGCTGAGAGAGATGCAGGATGTGTGCTTTGGTGAAATACATTTTCTGGTAATAAGTATAATCTCTTTTTCATTGAAAAGGGTTGTAGGAAGCAATGTCACCTTTTGGAATTAAGCAACTCAGAGTTGGAGGACTTTAGAGGGATCCAATTAAAGATTCCTCCAGCCCACTGCCACCTCAATTCTGCCAGTGCTTATATAAAAGCTTATACAATTTCTACACTTCACTCACTCAGAACACTTAGGCAGTGTTTCAAATGCACAACAACAGGATGGTAGGATTTGCTAAAAATGACATCTTTCCATCCCACAGTATAAATAATGGATGTGATTTTTGATTATTTAAAAAACAAAACCACTTTTCTCCAATACTTTCAGAAGGGCTGTATGAGTCTCAAGTTCCACCGTAGTTAATTAGGGCTCTCAAATGATCTGAATGGGCAGTGTCTTGGCTAACAGCCCTACCAATATTGTAGTTTGTGATTGGACTTGACTGCGGGCCTCAGTTGTACTGTTTAACTAAATCTCACGCCCAAAGTGGAATGTACGCATTTTTAAAAATATGTGTTCATTATTTTGAAGAAGACTTGACTCGTTCTCTCACTTCAGTTTGAGAAGGTTAAACATAAAATGTCTTCTGTTGGCGTGCCAAATTCATTCAACAAAACTCTCTTGACTTTTATAGTAATCAAAATAGACGTAGTTTTAGTAAAGGTCATCTGTGTTGTCAAAGCCTAAATATGCACCATGGCTTTATGGATAGCCGGACTTCCGTTTCAAGATTAGCTTTTGAAAAACTAACCAAAAAAAAAAAAATACTTAAAATGTGGCTTTAATATAATACTGTGACTTTCTTTTTCTATAGTCATCTAATATACTACCATTAGGAAGACAGAGAACTTTTCGGATCCCTGTTGAAAAATTGACTCTGTGCTGGTCAATTAGGAAGGACTCTGTGCTTTCTTTCAGGTGTCACTTCATTAGGAAGTCCTTAATCGGAGCTTTGCCTGTCATGGCAAAATGGAGGGTCCCGGTGGAAGTGCTTTGTTGTAACTTGCTTCATACAAAGATTTCAGTCAAAATAGGAAACTATCACCTTCCCTACTCTCAAGATTTAGCTTCCCCACCCCGACTCCACACTCTTGACTCAATGGCAGCGAGTTTGCTTTGGGTTTTCTCCCACCTGTGTATTCATGTACACCTCTGGTGGAGCTAGAGAACATCTGATTCCATGTCATTTCTGGTGGTGCTAAGCTAGAGGAGGGAGGAAGTAGTCATTCCACGTGAGAAATATCACTTAACTTTTTTTTATTAGTGAGTTTGTGTGAAGTGTTGACATGGAAGCTCCTCTGAATATTAAGAACAATCAAAGCCATACTGTGCAATCTAAATCTAGGTGCCCAGCTAATCTGGGGAGATCTTGACCTGATGGACTTCATTTTTATCCTTGTCACTGAACCCTTGACAATATTTAGGAAGATATGTGACCTTCCTAAACTAAATGCAAACGTGTCCACTCCCTTTTGTAGCATATAATAAGCTGCAGGTTAGCACGGTGCAGCCTGAACTTGGCTGCAATCTTTTCTGAACCGGATGCCTTCCACCTCAAGATGAGGTAGTTAAAATGGCCATCTCTAGAAAATTGCCAGAAAGAAAAAAAATCACAGAACATAATTTAAAGCATAGCTTGTAAAAATCATTTTTATACTTGCGAAATACACAGCTATATTTAAAGAATCAAGAGAAACTAATTAGAACTTTATGTGAGCTGCAGGAAGTTGGAGCCCACCTGCTTCATAAAGAAACAGAGAGGCCCTTTTTTCTAGCTTCATTGACTAACGCAACCTATTTTAAATTTCAGTTGAACTGCTAACAGTTTGAGTGTAAATAGGTTTCTAGCAGTTACACCCGGAGGAATTTTGCCATATACTATGCTTTAACAGAAAAGCATGGGAACATGGCCAATGCCTTTGTAACCCCTTGCCTATTTGGCAGTTTAGCAAAGATTTAAACCTTTATTATTGCTGTTACTTTAAACTACTTGGATGTTCACGCAATGCTTTTTTTGAAAGTCTAGATATTGGTCTTACTGGGGGTATAGTTGGTTCCACCCTGGGCTGTTAAACACAAGATGAGCCGTTTGAATCCCCCGTGGCTCCACGGAAGAAAGATGAGACTTAGCTAACCCCGGAAAGATTGCGGGCTCTATGGAGCGGTTGAGTCTGCCTCGCCTTACAGGGTTGTTAGGAGTCAGAATCGACTTGATGGCAGTGGAGTCTTACTCTTGGAAATACCCAGTTAAGGAAGCGACTTCATTTCCCTCAGTAGTAAATACTGACCAAGATAGTATGTGCCTAACAACTATAAATATGAGGGGGCTTTTTTTTTAAGCCATGGAAACCGTCCCATTATTTTTTAATACCATTTTTCCACACACTTTTTGAAACTGCTTTTGTAATTCCTGCTATCAAACAGCATCTTTGGAACTTGTTACACCAAAATTAACTTGTCATTATTATGTAGGGTGTTAAAATTTAAAAGGATCTAATTATGGTATTTGATTTATTTTGTTAAGAATCTCTTAAGTACTAAGTATAAGGTAATTTGTTTTAGTATGTTTAAGTCCAGTTGTATGACTTTTATTTGGGACCTAAACTTTGGCAGAGGACAAAAATCAGAATTGAGATTTTCCTAATAAATCAGTTCGCTGTTCACATGAGGGGTGTTTGATGATGACTGGTATTCAGCCCTGGTGGAGTAGTGGGTTAAGCATTGGGCTGCTAACTTCAAAGTCAGCAGTTCAAACCCACCAGCCACTCAGCAAAAGATGAGACTTTTTACTCTGGTAAAGATTTACAATCTCAGAAACCCAGAGGGGTAGTTGACTTGAGGGCAGTGAAGTGTTTTTCTTTGTGGGGGGAGGAAGAATGGGGTGTGTGTGTAGTATTCAGTAGGACGCTTTTTGAATTGGCATATGATTATCTTATCCTTTGGGGTTAATCCCATTGAGAAGGGTCTGGCACATCTACCTCCTCAGGCATTTTTGTAAATGTCAGGTTAGGATTTTCACATTTATCCAGGGCGTGACCCTCACAATATCAGATCCATTTATTATTTCACTGTCAGCCTGCTATTTATTGGCTGTGTCCATCCAATAAATCAATCCATGACTAGAAATAAGGCAATCTTGAAATTAGTAAAAAAAAATATATATATATATATATTCTGGAGACATGGTTTAATTGTTAAAGGCAACAAAATACGCTTTGTTAATGCAATGATATATAATCACTGACATTTTACTTGGTATTTTAAAAGTAAATGCTTTTCACTCAGCGGAAATCTGTACAAATGCACAATGGCAGAAAGGTGGGGCCATACAACCAGAAGCTAAAAGGGATCAAGACAAACTGTAGTCATGAATTGTTTTCTGTGACATTGTGAATTGTTATGAGTACTAGAAAAATAATTAACAGTTTCATTTTTCCTTATAGTTTCTCCTGGGGGATGCTTTAACATAATTGATATGCTCCTTATATAGTGTGCATTTCCCTTTCATTAAAGAAAATGGACTGATTTTAAAAAGAAAATTCTTAGTTTCCTAATTTTAACATTCTCTTCCTCCCAAAAGTATATTAAAAGCCACACCAGGTTGTTTTGTTTTTTAAAACATCTTTGCTTATTTATTTAGCAGACTTACTGAAAATGAATGATATAAACTAGATATTAGCCTGTGACAAGGTACAAAAGTCTTCGAAAAACTGATCTGGTGTCAAGAAAATCTTTTCATAATGGTACAGAGTGGATGGTTTCCACTGGCCTGATTTCAGTTCTTCAAAGGAGAAAGGGCAAAATCTGTCCAGCTACCATGGCAGTTTACTATAAACAAAGTCATTAAACCCCAAAAATCTTTATTAGTACCCACAGATGAAGGCCACACAAAGCAGGAGTCTGGGAATTTTGTGTTCTCGTACGTAGTAATAATCCCTGCTCTCAAGACACGGCCACTCTACAACATGATGCACAATTTAGCAGCCGAGTCTAAAGAATAGCAAAACTCAGGAAGAGAAAGATAAGGAGAAAAAAGATTTGACAAGTAGTTATAGTGATTCCATAATTCAGTGTCTATATTGTATTTGTCAAGTCATTCTTAAAAAGTTTTACCCCATCTTAACTCATAATCCAAACTTTAGAGGTTTCTTACCCTCAAACAAGGTAGGGAGCTGAAAAGACAATTTAAAGCACACGTTCAAGTACTGGATCACTGATAATAATGCTATCAAGTCGTTGTGCTGGTTGGGATGCTATTCTGGCATTAACCAGAAAGTCATATTTAGGGTATTTCAAAAGACGTAGTATAGTTAGAATAAAATCCACAAATAAACTTCATTTGGTCTTCTGTTGTTGCATTACCTTCCAAAGAGGGAATTTTTTTGATATGTTAATTTTAGGGGGAAGAGAAGTGGTTTTCTAATGATCACTTTTTATATCAGAAAGTAGGGGTTTCATCAGAAACACTCATACTTTTTTAAAATGAAAAGCCAAAGTGATAGGCTATTGGAAAACACTATGCAATTACATTAAAGCCAGAAACCTTAAATTACAGAGAGAGAATTCACAAGTGAATGACAAATATTGCTTTAGGGTTGACTTTGGTTATAGGTCGGCTTTGCCCCCAGGCCTATGCACCCCAAGTTGAGGCTCTCCCAGTGCACGTGTGTGTAGAAGATGGCACCCACTCTTCAGCCCCCCACTCACGCTGTATCTTCTTGCCATCTCTCGAAGGTACCTACCAGGGCCAGTGGGCCGGCGGCATGAGGCACGGGTACGGTGTGCGGCAGAGCGTCCCCTATGGCATGGCCACGGTGATCCGCTCGCCGCTGCGCACCTCGCTGGCTTCGCTGCGCAGCGAGCAGAGCAATGGCAGCGTGCTGCACGAGGCCGCCGCCGCCGCCGCCGACAGCCCAGCTGGCACCCGCGGTGGCTTCGTGCTCAACTTCCACGCAGACTCGGAGCTCTCCGCCGGGAAGAAGAAGGGCGGGCTGTTCCGCAGAGGCTCCCTTCTCGGGAGCATGAAACTCCGCAAGTCGGAATCCAAGTCTTCCATCTCGAGCAAGCGCAGCTCGGTGCGCAGCGATGCGGCCATGAGCCGAATCAGCTCCAGCGACGCCAACTCCACGATCAGTTTCGGCGACGTGGATTGCGACTTTTGCCCCGTGGAGGACCACGTGGACGCCACCACCACGGAAACCTACATGGGCGAGTGGAAGAACGACAAGCGCAACGGCTTCGGCATCAGCGAGCGCTCCAACGGCATGAAGTACGAAGGTGAATGGGCAAATAACAAGAGGCATGGCTATGGCTGCACCGTGTTTCCCGATGGCTCCAAAGAAGAGGGAAAGTACAAAAATAACGTTCTGGTCCGTGGAATAAGGAAGCAGCTCATACCAATAAGAAACACAAAAACGAGGGAAAAGGTGGACAGAGCAATTGAAGGCGCGCAAAGGTCAGCCGCCATGGCAAGAACCAAAGTGGAAATAGCCAATTCAAGGTATGTAAATCAAGGGCCGATGGTTTTGCCGGGTCTTTCAAATGGGTTTGCAAATACTCGTCAGTCTCCTGGCGACCTCGCCACAACAACCAAGAATCAGTGCGGAAAATGATTCAGCCCAATAGAATGAGTCCAAAATGGATCCGTGCTGTTCTCAGATTTATTTTTCCAGCATGAGAAATGCTGAAGGCACATTTGAGGCTCCCTTCTTGATGGCTTAGTTGATTGTGCGATGGGCTGTGATCTGCAAGGTCAGCAGTTCGAAACCAGCAGCTACTCAGCTGTATAAAGACCAGCCTTTCTATTTACTGAAAGAGTTAGTCTTCAGGAACTTGGGGGGCGGGGCCCGCGGGTAACCTGTTCTATAGGGTTGCTATGAGTCAGCTTTTATTTGATGGCAGTGAGTTTGGTTGTTTTGATAACAATTAAATAGCGTAAGGGACTTCAATCAGGCGCTGCCAAATTGGAAGTACTTTTTTTTTTTAATCTTCAACACTGCCCCCAGCGCATCCCAGTTTAAGTATAACCCTTTAGAATTCACTTCATGGCAGTGACTTCTTGGTTATTTGAATATATAAGATGAGCTATGAACAACTCCCCTCATCAGTGCATAAAATTCAGATTCTTGTTTTTGAGCCCTTACAGTGAGCTAGGTTTTGAGAAGGCCCACAGGCTTTCAACATGGCAAAAATGGACAGTTACATGATCCGATCTGCTTGAAATTGTATTATTTAAAGTAGCAGCGCTCATCTGCATGGAAGAAGGAGGGGGGGAGACTGAGCCCCCCAAGAATGGCCATATTCTATGCGGCAAAGATTAGCTCACTTGTGTATTAAAAGGAAGGAATGGTGGGAGCCTGACATGGACAGCTGGGACTGTGAAAATGCCAAGGTTGGTAGAAAGGAGAGCACCAGCAAAGGGCTGAAGTGAGGAGGAGGAGGAGAATAAGATAACATTGAGGATCGGGTGGATGTGGGCCCTGAAAAAAGGGTGCTTGAAGTTAATCACTGACAGCAGAGTTCAAGCAAAAAGAAAGGGATAGAGGAACGCATTGACATTAGAATTTTATTCAGGATGGATGTCACTTGTTAGACACGGAAGAAAAAGTTTACAAGTGGGCATTTTTGTATTTTAGGCTTATTGAAGTAGGTACTGTGTGGCCACAGTTTTGTGTGACTTGAGGTATAAATTTAGCATAGAATATTAAAAATTATTTTCATACTAATCTGTAAACGTAAATCTTTTTTGTTGAAACCACAGAAGGAAAATAAAAGATGATTTAAGTGTTGACTGTTAGCATTAAATGAACGAACATTTTTATTTCACTGAGCTGAATGAACTTGCTGACACTTGACCTTTTGATGTACACCCAAATGACAATTTCATACGTTTTAACTTACTATGTCCCAACTCGTAAAACATCTTTCTCCTTCTTTTTTGAAGGCCTGTACTATAAGGTTACTATTTACTTCTGAAATCCCTGGCGATATACTGGATTAAGTGTTGGTCTGCTGACCCCACGGTTGAGATTCAAGCCCACCAGGCACTCCTCGAGGGAAAGATGAGACTGTCCTGTCAAGAATCACAGTTTCAGAAATGCTAAAGAACAGTTCTGCTCTGGCTGACTGGGTGACTGAGTGAGGATAGACTCCATGGCAGTGGAGGGTGTTGGATTTTTACATTAATGTATAGATAGAAACTTAGCCGTGGAGTTGCTGACCGTGTCATCGTGACCTTACAGGAGAGCGTAGAACGGCCTCAAAGAGTTTCCAAGGCTGTGATCTTTGCGAAAGCAGACATCTTCCCCATGTGGAGTAGCTGGTGAGTTCAAACCACTAGCCTTTAAACTGGCAGGGGAATGCTTAACCACTTCACTACCAGAACTTCTTAAGCTTTGGAATACACAGCCACAAAGCCAAACCCCCTGCCAAAAGTTGATTCCACCTCGTCATGATCCTATAGAGGGTTTCTGAGGCTGTAAATCATTGTGAGCTGGTAGCCTCATCTTTCTCCCACGGAGCAGCTGCTGGTTTGAACCCATGACCTTGCAGTTAGCAGCCCAACCCCAAGCTCCCAGTGCCACCAGGCACTTCGTGTGTATGCTAGGTGAAAAGCCCTTATGAAAGATTCCAGCATTTATTTGCACCTAAAGCAAATGTCAAGTTCATATTTCTTGTTCATCAGCCTGAGCTTACGCAGAGGGTCTCTCCCGTCCTCTCTGTGAGCATTGTTCTTTCAGATCATGGTAGTCTCTGCTCACCAAGCATTGGATCTCCTTGTTTTGGGCTTGGCACCTAGAATCTTGCTGGTTTCCGTGGCTGCCTGCTAACTTTGAGAACTGGGGACATAACCATCTGTGGCGCACTAGCACTCTGCTAGGCATACTTCTGGATTCAGAGAAGGGAGCCCTCGTAGCATAGTGGTTACGGGTTGGGTGCCAAGTGCAAGGTCAACAATCCTAAACAGACCAGCTGCTCCTCAGGAGAAAGATGAGCCTTTCTAGTCCTGTGAAGAGTTTACCATCTCTGATGGTTCCTTGGAGCTAAGGCAGGGAGGTTGAGGGGAAATGGGAGCAAATACTGAGGAGCACAGGAACGAAGAAAATGTTCTAAAACTGATTGTGGTGATGATTGTACAAATCTTGATGTGATGCAATCATTGAATTAACATGATATGTGAATTACACGCCAATAAAACTGTTGGTGGGGGGGTGTATGCCACAATCTCTGAAACCTACAGGGGCAGCCCTACCCTGTCTTAGTAGGTCTCTGTGAGTCAGAATCGACTGGATGGCCGTGAGAAAGAGACTCTTAGAGATACTGAGACCAGCGTGCTGGACTGGACACCCACGGCTGTTCTGCCATCAGGATTTAACCTGTGGTAGACGATCGAGAAACCAGACTCTCTTGAGTCCTGGAGTGCTGCTAGTGCATATGCTGACTTTTCTTTTTTTTTTTTTCTTTTTTCTTTTTTCTTTTTTAACATTTTATTAGGGGCTCATACAACTGTTATCCCAATTATATGCTGACTTTTCTTAGCAGAAAAATAGCGGCCGGATCTGGTAGAACCATGTCTCAGCTGTATGCGAGTCCAAGCCCTTCACTTTCAGAGGACTCAGGGTCACCCTGCTCCCGTCTCTTCAATTGCACTTGCTAGGTGCTCAGTTTTCATTCCATTAGCACTTGCTTCCAGTATTTCTTAAAGTGTTCCTGTCATTTCCCTTGTATTTCTTATTTGGTAAATAAATTTTTATCTCATCTACCCTCACATCCAATAATTTTTTGAGAGACGTATCCCAAACACATCACCATTCCTGAGAACGATATTTTATGAAAGGATTTTATGGAAAGGCCTTTGGTTACAAGAGCAAATACTAAGTGACCCTTAGAGAATCACCGTTGGGTGGAAATGAACAGGTCATTTACAAAGGATATAAGCACGCACAGTTTTGTATGATCTGGCCTTAAGTGATCACTGTCGCCGAGAAGGTAGAAAACGCATGGTTTAAGGAATGGGAGAAAGCACCCGACGTGGTTGAGAACCACAGTGTTTGGTTGTACATGCTTCCTTGTCTCAACTTAGAAGAAGGAAAATAAAGCGCAACGACAGAGTTCGTAATAACTCTCGACACACTGAAGGGTGGGAAGTTTGAGACCCTTCGGAGATAGCTCCAAAGGCAAGCCTGGAGATCCGCCGCCAGAAAATTCAGCCATTGAAAACTCTGTGGAGCGCAGTTGAGGGTCACCAGGAATGGGAATCTACTCAATAATAGTACTTGTTTTCTATTGCTTTGTTTTGTTGCCACTCTCCACACTCCCTCCGCAGCTGTGATCAACCTCCCTGACCCTAGCAGGCTGCTTGGCCAGGCAGCTCCCAGTCTTGCTCAAACTTTTTGAGATGAGGACAGCCTCTCCTGTCCATGAGTGCCTTCCAGGGGGTACCCTCAGCACCTAGACAGGTGAAGTCAGGAGGGAGCCTCGTCTGTCCCTACTCCAGCCCTTGCCCACCATGGGCATCATAGGCCGAGAGGGAAGGAAGCAACCAGATAGAGTGTGGAGGGGCACGTGGGGCAAGTGACCTGGTGTGTGTGGGGGGCACTTGTTGCATCACTGTTCAAAGTAAAGGTGGGACTTAATGTCCCTAATTTGGGCTTTATATATAAAGGCGGCACTTACTTTTCATGTAGTGTTTGGGTTTTTTTAAGCTGTACTTAAAAAAGACCTTTGAGATTAAATAGGATACAAATTGCTGCTATTTTTATTATCAAAAATAATTCAAGAATTAAGAATAATGTAGAAAAGAGTATGCTACAGTCACCCCTGGGCCTTATACCAGTCTAAATTATTAACTCATAGATAACTTGTGTTTCCTTGTATTCCCCTTTCCACTCCCCCCAGATTCTTTTGAGGACAATTTCAAAGCTCATTTAAAAACAACCACAGAAACACAATGGTTCTTTCAGAAAACTCTAAACAACTTCTTGTAAGGGTATATAAGAAAATATATCGAGATTTTAAATAACAACGTTATAAGCAGGCTTCAAGAAGTTTTCAGGGAAATTCCTTTACCTTCTCATTCTCTTTTTCCATGAACTTCTTGAAGCACCCTCTTGCTTTCCACATACATTTCCCCATCTTCCTGCTTCTCCACTTCCGCTGCAGTTGAAAACTAGTCCCAGGCAAGCCATCTCCAGCCGGGATTGTTCCAGCAGCCTCTGAACGGGGTGCTTTTTCTCCCACTCCCGACTCCGTCAGTTCTCCACACAAAAGCCAGTCGTCTTTGTTTTAAATGTGAATTGGATCAGGACACTTCCTACTTAACAGTATTTTCGGTGGTTTCCCATGGCACTTGAATATGCAGGAGTCTTTAAGTAAAGACCCTGTGCGCAGTGGCCTCAGCCTTCCCCCTACTCATTGCACCCCCACCCCACTCCTGTTCTAAGTATTTGCATATTCCATTCCCTGGGTGCTCTCCCCGCGCCCACCTGGCCGTGCCTTAGA